GCGGGCGTAGGGAGCTCGTCGCGACCCTCCGGTTGTCCCCTCCTGCAGCCCGGCCTCGGGGGACGCCGCCTGAGCAGAACCGGATTCGCCCCGCGCCGCCGTGTTGCAGCCGGTTTGAAAAGGGCCGAGGAAGACCGCGTCGGAGCGCTGCCGGGAAAGGACAAGCGTCTGTGGGATGGCAGGGCCTCATCTGTGTCCTTGGGAAGCCGAGACCCCCAACGGCGTCAGGCTGACCTAGCAAAATACGGAGGAACTGGGAACGCCGCCGCCAGATGGATTTCCCTGTCTGGAAGGGCCGTCGGTATTTGTCTTGCCCCAAGTCCGCGGCTCTGCCCTCGCTGAGAAGCGCTGCTGATTCATTAAACTAGCAAAAATCATGATGTGACGTTCCTAGATGTGCTTATTTCTCTGCTAAGTGAAAGTGTACCTTACGGGTGCTCGCCATGAGCGGCGAGTCGCGTTACGCAAGTACACACGTGGAAAAAGCCTGTGGGGAGAAGTGGTGAAATAGCCACGTGCATCGGTAGGGTGAACGCGCAATTGAATGATGGATGTCTCTGCTTTGCACTCTCAATTTCTTCCTGTGCTTTGGAGAAGGAATTGTGGAGGCAGCTTGCTGTAGCCTGTTCCTTCTTCCCCTCCCATCGCTAGCGAATTCCAGAAGAGTATTTCCTCGAGTCTGAGAGAAGGGGGTGCTCCTGCATCGCGCCAAAGCATTTACTGCACGCTGTGCAGGCGGCTGGTTTTCAACTATTTTACTGAACTGTAAAAGTTTTAAAAGTTTGTGTATGTGTGTGTAATACTGCCCAGCGCGCCTTAAGATCACAAAATGCTGCTTTGTAGCCAGATAAGTAGCCCTGTGGTTTTTTGGTAGAAACAAGGTTTCAGACCTTTGGAAGTTTGGAATACCTCATCCCTGGAGGCATTTAAAAGATAGATGAGGTGCTTAGGGACATGGTTTAGTGGTGGGATGGCAGGGTTAGGTTAAGGGTTGGACTCGATGATCTTAAAGGTCCTTTCCAACCAAAGTGATTCTATGATTCTGTTGTAAGTTCCTTCAAAGCAGGCGCTGGGGCGTGCAGTATCCAGCGCCCGCGCTCAGCAGAGCTCCCGCTCACTGGAGCGTGCAGTTCAGGCTGCACCGGCTCGCTCCACATTGTTGGTACCTTACTAGCAAAGCGCTGATACCTTTTTGTGGCGCAGCTTTTGGTGGTTTTTAACGTCGAGGCTGCCAGACTGTTAGAAACGGGGGTTTCCGTACAGCCGCTGATGCCACACCGTGGCCTTCCCTGCATACGGGTGCCGCTTTGCCGGGGCAGGGGAGCACCTGCAAGCGTGAAGTGCCCGCTCACGTGCGCTCTCCAGCACAAGGTAGAAGCTGCCGTACCACAGCCTGCGGGTTGCCCTGGGGAGGGCAGGGCCGGGATTCACCAGCGGGGCGGCTGCAGGCCGGCTGTCTGACACTCCCCAG